GTATACTACCCAGGGTTAGGATCTATATGATGTCCAGATGAATTAGATGAGCTTCACAAACAGCTCAAGGAACTAATTGATAAGGCATGCATCAGGCCATCACGTGGACAATCTTCCTATCAACAACTCCTATAGGTTCCTCCTGAAGGTCTGGACACTTCGCGATCTCTTTCTCTAGAGGGCCCTTTATGGCCTGCCTCTTTTGCGATACAAACACTAGGTACATACCCTCTTCTTGGTGCTGCCTATAGTAATTGTAGAACACACTAGCACACAAACCACCATAAGAGTCTGCCAGACTTTGACTGTATTTCTTCAAAAGGAGCATCCTCCCCTTGAGCGTTTCGTACTTCATAGTCGTCGTCACCCAGTCAAACTGGGGCCGTGCAACCTCCAAGACTCCAACTAGAACATCCCTAGGGTCATATCAAATGGGAGTTCGTTGCTCACAAGGAATGACAATCGGTGTCTTAATTTCTCTCCTCCATAGGAGAAGGTGCACACTACATCCCAGATGCAATCCTTCACCACTATAGTCTGCTTGTAGGCTAAGGTAGACAATACAGGTCTACTTAGCTGCTGCCCTTGATCCCCTAAGCGCAACCTATCTGTACAAGCACAACTGATGTAATTGCGAGTGGAACCAATGTTTGTTAGTGCCCCTGCTTTATGACCACCTACATCAACTTCCACCACTATCAATTTGCCCTTGGGACCTTCATAGCCACCCAGGAAGCTACGAGATCTTCTAAGACCACTAATTTTCTAGCTCCTCTAAGGACTCAGTCACATTGGGTGAACAGAGCAACACCTGGTCTAATGGTGACTGTAGAGTGACTAAAGGGTCAATATTATGAGAGGTTGAGGGAGTATCTAGCCTGGTTGGAACTATTTCCTACCTCTTCAGACTCTGTAAAGCGGATAATACTACTATTGGCTTGCCTGGTTTCCCCGTTTGGCGTTGGGACATTGTTTCTTGATGTGGCCTAGTTTGCCACACTTCATACATGCCCCCTCCCGTGTCAGTCTTCCCAGACTGTCTTCTGAAGCCCTTCCCTTACCCAAGAAGGGTCTCTAGAGGGTTTGCCTTTCTCTTGCGCCTTGGGTGGTCCCTTGATGGACCAGTTTCCTTAGCCTTGTGCACAGCTGCAACTCCTCCTCATGAGCAGCTTCCTCACTGTGTGCCTGCTCTGTTACATCCTTCAGGACTGCAAGATTGTCCATCTCCTCCTGATTCCCATCCTGGTCTACATAGAATAGGTGACCCTTCTTCCAGTCCTCGGACAGTCTTTCCTTCGATCATCCTACTGACGCCCCCTGCACAACGCTAGCATTCCTGAGCTTAGCCTCTAAGTCTAAGGGAATCTTGCTAAGGGATGTACAGTTATTTCTAGTGGTGGTGGCCTCATTGACTAACAGGCCCTTGATATGATCTGGAACACACCTGAGGCAACTCATGTGGACTATCTCAACATTATACCGCACACCAAGTACCATGGTCTACCTTCTCAGTGACTGTCCGGACATCCCTATACTTCCTAGCATCAAGATTCTTGAGCCCGTCAGTAGCCCTTTGAGCTTTGCTGCCGGACGTGCCACCTAGACTCAACTAAGGTCATGAACTAATCTAGCGTGACATTGGCTGCCCGAGTCGCCATATCACGCGCATAACCTGCCTCTACTATCGCACCATCCAACCACCTCGCTGCAGATCCCTGCAAAAAGGATGCAGTGACAATACCCTCCTCGTCTACACACATGTCCTTGGTCCATATATACACAGCACAGACCGAAGCCACGCATCCAGGTTTTCATCCTTGCAATCCCCTGTGAACACCGCTGTCTGTACCATCGAAGTGTTGACAAAGATTAGGGGTTGTGTCGCAACTGCAGGCCCTACAGAAGCCAACACACGTGCCTGCATTGTAGCTGTAGACACCGGTGATGAAACATACTGCACCTGGGTTTGAGATGGACCCGCACCTATACTGCTGGGTGTAATAATTCCAAACTGAAGAACAAACTGCCCAGTCATGGGCAGCACAACCGATGGAGGTGGCCCTTGTGGCCTGGACGTAAACACTATACTGAAGGGAACCTGTGTTTCCAACATCTTCTCCAGCATCGTCACTACCCCATCCAAAGTAGTCTAGATGGAGTCTTAACCCACCTTCGACAGTCTGCATTGCCTCATGCAGGCCTACATCCCACAGACTACTCTCATCCATGCCTTCCAGTGCCTTCTTATCTGCATGTCTATTCTCCAGTAGGTTTGCTCTATTTAGCACTAAGCTTTCTTGTCTTTCAGCCTCGTGCAGGCCACCACACCGCGGTTTCTATCGCACTGCTGAAGCTGAATGGGACTTAAACAAACATGCATGCACTGCACCCAGGAGCTGTTTTCAACGTGGGCACGTGCTTCAACCACCCAGGGCACTTCACAGGCACTGCCCTCCGCACCAGACGCGCCAGAAGAATGTCGACTCTCAAGGTATGAAAAATGAAGGAGGGTAACCTCCCTTCACCGAAGAGAGGTAGAAAGCTATGCTTGCAGGGGTCCCCTGTATAGCCTTAGGAGTAGTGGTAGGCGGTGATAAGAAAGACAAGTTCCATGACATGGCAGAACACCAGTTAAAAGAAAGATATGTGATGTGAGAGAAAATATATGGCTGTCCCCCAATGAGGAGAAGGCAGCTTTTTCATTAAAAAAAAATAATAATAATAAAGGAGGGTAGATAAGGTCAAAGACAACATACCTCGCCAATGCTGCCCCCAGCCACAGATTATCTCACCAGCTGTGATGATGACTCATTTGATGAGTCGTTCGTTGACCGGTTGTAGCTATGGAACCACTGACAATACAGTGCAAGTGCCTCCGTAACCAACGGTGAGCATCATCTCACTCCCAACACAAATGATGTATCCTTTCACTAGCCTTCCGGCCATCCACGCCTTACCTCGTGCATGACCAGTACCGCAAAAAGTACATGATCACACCGCTTGCACATCCCGCAAGCACCGCACCAACCAAATGCAGCAGGACCAAGTGGTGAGAGCCTACGAACCTCACTCCAATACCAAATTGTAACTTCAAATAAGCCATCCGATCAGCAATAAACCAAGTTCCGACATCTTACAGAAAACCAGACATCATTGAGCCGAAACTAAGAGCAGAAATCAAAGCGAGTTTCGCACCAAATAAGACTGAGCAAAGCACTGAAGTCTCTTGATAATGAAAGCCCTTCCAATGCCTCCAAGTGCCTCCGTAACCGAAGGTGAGCATCATCTCACTCCCAACACAAATGATGCATCCCTTCACTAGCCTTCCGTCCGTTCACACCTTACCTCGTGCATGACCAGCACCGCAAAATGTACGTGATCACACCACTTGCACACCGCACCAACCAAACGTGGCAGAACCAAGTGGTGAGAGCCCACGAACCTCACTACGATACCAAATTGTAAGGAAATAAGCTATCCGATCAGCAATAAACCAAGTTGCGACATCTTACAGAAAACCAGACATCATTGAGCAGAAATCAAAGCAAGTTTCGCACCAAATAGGAATGTCATTCCAATGCTTCCAATCACCAATACAACAACAATATAGCCCTCCTACAGGCGGCTGCACCGCCGACTCTACCTCCTACGCATCCTATCAGACAGCCTACTCGTGTCAGCAATTGGTCCACGTGTCATCATCCCGAATGCTGCTCGAAGACTCTGATCGAACAGCCTGCCTTCGCCAACACCAGGTATGTGCCCCCTCACACTGCCTCTCTTCCTTCTCTCCCATGTTCTCCTTCCACCAAGGCCCTCCGCTACTCTACCACTCAGCTATGGAGCGGGCAGCCCGGCTATGGCAGCCGCTCTCCCTTTCTCCTTCCTCCCTGGCACCGCACAGCTTCCTCCTCCGGCACAGCGCTCGGCCACTGCTCCAGGAACACTGCCGCATTGGCACAATACCCTAACATGTCGAAGTCTGCCCCCTCCAACTTTTTGTGCTGGCTGGAGAGGCCGAGCAGCCTCTCGCCAGGCTTTGCCCAGTCCCAGTTGCCTGCGCCCTCGGACCTTTCAGAATCTACATGAGGTCCAGCAATTTCAATTAACTCATGGGCTGGGCGTGCCGGTTAGTTGAAGATGCTGCAAGCATGCAGCAACTACCTGGGGTCATTTTCGCAGGCCGGCTTTCACTTCGGGCAGGCGGGGCATATTCCTGGCTGCCCTAGGCGCCAAATCCTCGCAAAAGAACATTTTCATACAGAGAAGCGGAACTTACATTAATGGCCATACATAGAAGGAAGTGGAACACACAAAGAAGGAATACCACAAATAGGATTGAGCAAGAGTATCCAATGCTGGTAAGGGATTGGAATGCAGTGAAACCCGTTGATCGACCGAATATACTCATGCAAGAGAAGGTCTGAAGGGTATTTCAATGCTGGAGTTTTCAGAGGGAACTAGTTTGAAAGGCCAATACAGAGTGTTGGAACCCAAGGGGAGTACTCTCACCTCTGTCCAGAACACAAACTAGGTTAAGACTTCTTTCTCTAGGATAGAGTACCTTTCCTGGAGGTGCAGGTTTACTGCCCCTGCTAATGAAGGAACAAAGCCAAGCTTTGACAACGTGTCCACTTTCTGCCAGCAAGGTAGAGCCCAAAAATATAGCAAACATTTGGGAATCAAGTGATGGCGTTGGGTGCACTGGATTGGAGAGGGATGGGTGCACATATAGAGAAATGGCTGCAGATATAAAGAAAATGGGATGAGGAGAGGGGAACCAACACTTGAGTGTATCACCCAACACTTTGTCTACCTCTCTTTTCTTCTTCCTAGAAACTTAGTAGAAATATTCCATACCTGACTGACTTTTAGCTGGGTAGCAATTCAGTAGGCACAAAAGAGTGTTGAATAATGTTATGTTATATCAATCAATAAACCACCAAACTTACATGGGATTAAGGTGAGGAGGACCAGCTAAAATTCCAGGAACAACTTACATGGGGGTTTTCGTCTATCCGAGGAACCTTTCGAGTTGGGGATAGGACTGATGCTGAAGAGAGAGACGACACATGTCGCTTCTTGTTTGTCAAGATCACATCACCACTAACTGTGATGAGCTTTCCATCTGCATCCAAAACATTCTGGAAAATCGAAGGCAGACCCTATCATTACCCCAGACAGAGGACAGCCCACATGACAAAGAAAAGACAAGCATGTGCTATGTGTGAGGCCAAGCAGAACCAATAAATGACCTTTTAGTACTTTTAGTCTTTTACCCTTTCTTTTTCTTTTGTTAAAAAAGCAAGAAACGAATTTGTTGGAAACTGGGTCCATTGTGCCTTACATCAAATGTACTGACTCTGCACTTCTCCCCATCGTGGTCGAGAGATCAGACAACGGCATTGATTACTACCCGACTGGGAGGATTTACCAGTGCTCCAACCCTGTTTTTCATCCTAAATGTATCTGCTACTTTCTGAACTGTCCTGACAGCATTGGTTGCTTCCCTTTGGAAGGATTAACTGTCAGGACTCTCCTTGTCTTTTGAGCTCTCTGCTCTGTCCTTGTTCTTTTTTTCTTTTTTCAAAAATTTGGACCATTTCTCGATTTTTGTGTGTCATCCTTGCGCAGGGCCCATACCAATCTTCTCTGTATCGTACTATCGTTCCAATTTTAATGGATGTCCTGAAGGACCTTTTTTCCTTTTTCTTCTTCTTCTCCTTCTTTTCTTTTTTTTTTCCTTTTGTCGAAGAAAAACAGATCCTTATGGTTCTGGCTCCATATCCATTCTGGGGAGCCTCAGTTCGGTTCCTGTTCCACTGGCAAGTCAAGGGACATCCTAATTGTGTCTGGTACTTTCTGACCTATCCTGACAGCATTGATTGCTTCCCTTTGGAACGATTAAGAATATATACATGCAAGCGCACGTTGTGCGCTGATTCGCGGACCGTTGGCACTCAAGCGCACCCCAACGGAGTGGCGCACGACCTGCACACCGCACGAAGGCCCAGGCCATATTCAAAAAAAAAAAAAAGCCCCGGTGTCGATTCATCCCTGGGCCGGCCCCCCAGCAAAAATGGTTTTGAAGCCCAAATAAAATTTTAGTGGGCCGTGCTTGAAACGATTTCAATTTTTGTTTTGGGGTGGGGGGGGGGACCGTTTCTTAGTTTTAGCAGGTCGATACTGGAAGGGCTTTGGCGGACCGTTTATTCGTTGTTGCAGCCGCCTCCAGTCCACTCCGGGAAGCAGCGCCGTCAGTCCCCCGCTACGAGCAGCGCTGACCTCCCCCTGCATTTGCATCATCACCGAGGCTGAGCTCTGGAGCGACCATCACCGACTTCAACCCTCCTCCAAGGTGAGTCTTTACCAGCCCTCCTGCCCTTCCTCGAACTCAACTCAGCTTTACGCAAAATAGCTAAAGTGAGATTAACCAATCGAAATGAGGTGATTGCATACATTCCGGGAGAAGGCCATAATTTACAAGAGCACTCTATTGTTATGGTTCGCGGAGGTAGAGTCAAAGATTTGCCTGGTGTAAAATGCCATTGTATTCGAGAAGTGAAAGACTTACAAGGAATTCCTAATCGACATCGAGGCAGATCAAAATATGGTACCCAAAAACCCCAAATTGAAATATGAACCGAAAAACCTCACAAGTCTCGCTCTTCGAGCCTTTGATTTTAGAGAATTGCAAGGTGCAACAATTGATACACAAATTTATCAACATTTGTATGATTCATGGGAATAAACAAAATATCGTGCTTCCCCTTCCCCCTCCTCCTCCCACCTCCTCCTCCTCCTCCCACCTCCTCCTCCTCCATCTCTCCTCCTCCTCGTCTTGCTATTGTCCTTTTCTTTTTTTTTCCAGATCTTGTACTCAGAGCTTTGATAGTACCTCGGACTATCTCCTCGTCACCTCCGCCTCCTCCTCGTCCCCTTCTCCATCTCTCCTCCTCCTCGTCACTTCCTCCTTCACCTCTCCCCTCCTCGTGCATCTTCCCTCCTCCTCCGCCTCCTCCTGTCCTCCTCGTTCTCCTCCTTGCCAAGGTCTCGTCACCTTTTCTTGTGTAAACTTCGATTTGTGTCAGTATCACCTCCTCTACCCTTAGTCGTCCATCTTTCCTCCTCCATCTCTCCTCGTCCTCCTCCGTCCCTCCTCGTCCATCTTTCCTCCTCCATCTCTCCATCTCTTCTCCTCCATCTCTCCATCTCTCCATCTCTAGTCTTCCATCTCTCATCCTCCTTGTCACGACCTCGTCACTTTTTCTTTTTTTAATGGAAACTTTGAAATGCAAACTGTGATGGTATCTTGTCGTCCGCTGACGCTATCTTGTCGTTGTCCTCCTTCTCATCTATGTCTCCTCGTCCTCCTCCTTCATCCCTCCTCGTCCATCTCTCCACCTCTCCTCCTCCACCTCTCATCCTCCTTGTCACCACCTCGTCACTTTTTCTTTCTTTTTTTTTAATGGAAACTTCGAAGTTCGAACTATGATGGTATCTCCTCATCCTCCTCCACCTCCATGTCTCCTCATCCTTCTCGTCCATCTTTCCTCCTCCATCTCTCCATCCCTCCTCCTCCACCTCTCATCCTCCTTGTCACTGCCTCATCACTTCTTTTTTTCTTGATAATGGAAACTTTGAAGTTCGAACTGTGATGGTATCTCCTTGTCGTCGTCCTCCTCCTTTTCCTCCATGTCTCCTTGTCCTTCCCCTCCATCCCTCCTCGTCCATTTTTCCTCCTCCATCTCTCCATCTCCCCTCCTCCATCTCTCCATCTCCCCTCCTCCACCTCTCATCCTCCTTGTCATGGCCAAGTTACTCTTTTTTTTTTTTTTTTTTTTTTTTTTTTTTTTTTTTTATGGACACGTTGAAGTTCCAACTGTGATGGTATCTCGTCGTCATCCGCCTCCTCCTTCTCGTCCATCCCTCCTCGTTCGTCTTTCCTCCATCTCTCCATCTCCTCCTCCACTTCTCATCCTCCTCATCACGGTTTCGTCACTTTTTCCTTTTGTGTTACAATCCTGGTCATTCCCAAAGTGCAAATTCACAATGAAAGACAATGCCACCCAATTGTGTAAGAAATGAAAGCACTTGCAAAGAGCTAGAGACCAAAGAAGAGAGAAAGAAGAAGAAGAAGAAGAAGAAGAAGAAGAAGAAGAAGAAGAAGAAGAAGAAGAAGAAGAAGAAGACGCACACCAGCAAGACCAATGACAAATCCCCCTTCTCTCTCCACCTTCCTCCTCCTCCTTGACTTCTCCAATCCTATTCTTATTCCAAAGAATATAACAATGAGTGGATGGCCCAGAAATTCCAAAATCAATATCCGAAGTTCCCTCTTCCTGCTAACACAAACAACAGGTCCACCATAGCCATGGCTTCCCCCCCTTCTTCCTCCTCTCACATGCCTAGGGGCGGACTACTAAGGGCTCTGCCCTCCTGTCCAAAGGACAACCCAAAGCAGCTATGTCACTGCCCTCCTGTCCAACGGACAACACAAAGCAGCTATGCCGCTGCTCGTTAAGCCGCCATGCCTGACTCTGCCTCGAGCTTCCCTGGTGTGGCACTACCCTAACTGGGGCCTTCCAGATGCAGCGCCTATCAAGGTGGTGAAGATGGTGTCCACGATAGCCAGGTAGATACCTCGCCACTCTCCTCCTTCACCTCCTTCTTCCTCCTCCTCAGGATGGGCCGCTCACCATAGCCAGGCTGAGCGCCCTGCTGCTCTCCTCCTACAGGCAGCGCTCCAAGTCCAGCGCTTGGCTCCAGCAGTACGTCGCCAATCCTTGCACACCGCAAATGAGGAGGAGCTGCTTGCTACACCCAAAAATATGGCAGCCTACTTGCCTCTTGGGCGGTGACTTCCAAGGCCGCACGGCCTCCCAGCATCAGGTACCTCCTGGTCCTCCCTTTCGGAGGGAAGCATCATCCTTATCACGTTGTCGTCGTCGTCCTCCTCCTCCTCCATCTCTCCTCCTCCTCACCACCTCCTCCTCACCACCTCCTTCTCATCCTCCTCCTCCATCTCTCCTTCTCCATCTCCTCATCTTCCTCCTCCATCTCATCGCCTCCTTGTACGCCCTCGTCACTTTCTTTCTTTTTTTTAATGAAGCTCTGAAAATTGAACTCCGATTGTATCTCCTCCCGTGCGCAGATCACGATGACGAGCCTCTCTCTCTCTCTCTCTCTCTCTCTCTCTCTCTC